GAAAGATTTTCAATATATTTTATTTTTCTATTTTGTTCCCTTCCTGCTTCTTTCCCCATCCCCCTTTTCTTTCTTTGTTGATATTTCCAAAGAGGGTTAAATTGTACACAGTATTCTTTTTCTAGTGGAAAGGAAATGACCCTTCAAAATTTATTTTTAGTAACTGACTACTTATGTATGTGTGTTTATTTATATGATAAATTAGGCTTAAAAAATAACTATTTTATTAAAAATATACATGGAACTGCCGAATTCATGGTGCATATGTCGCTTTTGTTTAGAGTTAGGTAGAAAAAAATGTACATATGTAGAGAGAAAGAGGCAGAGAGAGACAGAGACATACAACAGAGAGGGAGAGGGAGAAGGAGAGAGAATGAGAGAAAAGTAAAAGTAATCACATATCTGTCTCCAGCTTTGTACTTGTTCCTGTGGAACACACGAAACACATTACACACAGTGACCAAAGCGGGAGGCTTCCTGCAGCTCTTGGGTGTCTCAACCTGTGTAATCCCAACTGACTACTGACGAGCTTGCTCACTTTGTAGTAATTTTCTCCACGTTCCATAGTCTATCTCATTTCAAGAATGCGAGGGGTCACTAGCTGGAAAGTGATAACGAGAGATATCTGTAGCTTTTATACAAATATCACAAATTTAAAAAGTATTAATTAATGGAAAGATGATAATTCAAGCTAGCTTTTCAAAATTGGAGGCTTTGGCTTTAGTTTTGTCTTTAGTGAAAAGGAAACTAAAGAACTCTCACTCTGCCTGTCTCACTTCATCCTTTCAAACTGTAGGTATTATAACTCATTTTCCCTCGATTGCTGTTTGATGACCAGTGTTCAATGCATGGTGGCAATCAAGAGGGAATCAATGGTATTCAAGCAGGTGAAGGGATAAAACCATCAAATAATTATCTTAAAAGTTGTGAAAGAAAAATATGGCTATACGAAGCATATTCATATTGGCTGAGCTAACATGTCTTTTAAAAAGTATATCAGCTTTTCAGAGACAGGGAAATGTGACTTTCTGGTGAAGGTATCATAGCAACCTTCAGAGTGTTCATAAATAGACAAGGAACTTTTCAGAAGTGTCTCAGAATAACAACTCTGTGTTTACTGTAAGAGTCTGGAGTCACAAAATCTGACTCTTGTTTTTTTTTTTTTTTTTAATTCCCTAAAGGAAGTGATATTAAAATAGTCTTATCTTCTAATTTTCTACCATTTCTCCTGGTAACAGTTTTCCTTACTTGAATCCTCCCACCTTAAAAAAAGGAAAGAAAAAACAAAACAAAAAATCAATTGATGTCAATTTATTCACCTAACGATATGTTCCACATTTTAAAATAAAGTAAAAAATTGAATTTGGCATAGCTATTATTCATTTGTTGCCCATCATTTTTTAAGCAAAATTTCTAAATTCTCTGCTTATTTTGTTAAAAGAGCATGATAGCCTTTGATCTGTCGCATAGGGAAGTGATGTCTGTTTTAGCAAAGATATGCCCAGTAAAGCATGAATAAGAGTGCATGTACTCTGCTTTCCTAACCAGAGATGGCTTCAGATAACTTGGAAGCTGTGCTGGTTCTTATCAGCCCCGCTCTGTTGAAGTTGTGTGTTTGCATATGGTTGCCTTGGGACTGCTTGCCACATTATGATCTTGTGAATGACTCTATCTTTGATCTTGATCCCCGCACTGTATTCTAAGAAGCTAAGCCAGTAAATAATCATTCTAATAATTTTAAGTATCCACCTTGTGCCATGTTCTGAGAATGTTGGTCATTTTACATTCTCTTTTATTTTTTGTTGTTACTTTTGTTAGTAGCAGAAGCTTTTAGCTCCAGCATATTAATTGCAAACTTCCTATAAATTTTATCACAGCACAATAATTTAAACTTGGTTTAAATTTATGTATTGAGAATCCTTCTGGGGAATGGGTCAGGCAATAGGCACAAAGTACAGTGCATTCTCTTCTTATTTCTCAGTCTGACTCAGTGAAATTCACATAGCTATACCCATTAGACAACTTTTTGGAAAAGGAGCTCTTAGATGAATATCTGTATCACTAAGATACACAAAGGAGACACTATAAATAAAGGAACTATAGATATTAACTTGGTTACTTTCTCATTGCTGTGACAAAATACCCAACATGCAAAGTTAAAGCAGGAAAGATTTATTTATCTCACAGTTTGTAGAGGTTTCATCCATAATCTGCTGGCTTCAGGGAAGAGTGTCAAAGGCAGAAAGCAACAGTTCATGGTGGCTGAAGACAGGAAAAGCAACAAGTGAGATCAAAATAGAGAAGAACCTTTCTGTTCCTATATTTTATCTAGACAATGGGCCAAGCCATTCAGTGGACTGACCCAGCAATCAGCTACCCTTAATCGTAGCACCCTTAATTCCAGCATCGTACCATGAATTAGTCACAAACTCTACAGTTAGCTGCCTCGGAAAAGCCTCATCTAAAAGTGCCTGAGGATTTGGGGGTTATCCAGACATAAACCATAACAGACATGCTAAGTGAATTGGAGAAACTGTTTGTAGAAACTCTGGAAAAAGACCTACTCAGAAAGTTTCGCTAGAACTTTAATTTTCTCAATAAAGCAGTGTTACAAGCCAATTATCTCCCAACATCTTCAAATAAATCAATTTAAGCTAAGTCATCAATATAGGAACTGGGGTATTCTTCTCAATTTATTGTCTTAGTTTATATCTATTTTACTATTGAAATTGGAGTCTTAAAAGTAGCATTACATCAAAGAATTACAGTTATTTTATGCCAGTTTTCATTATAAACAGCAAGTATCTAATTAATCAAACAGTTGCAAACATGCACTGAGCTGTCTTTGCATGATATATAATATGTAGACATTGATCTTAGTAAGACTGAACAGATGAATCATCAGAAATTTTCTTTCATTATGTGCCTAGGGTAAAATTTTAAAAATACATATATTTAAAGTCATTTACATATCAATATTTGCATTCTAATGTAATGTTACTTAAGAAATTTTAAAGTTTTGTAATTAATTTTTACAACACTTTTGCTTTATAAATTAGGTACTTTTTTAAAGACGGGCTCATATGTCGGTGAAGAAATTTTAAAGTTTTGTAATTAATTTTTACAATACTTTTGCTTTATAAATTAGGTACTTTTTTAAAGATGGGCTCATATGTCGGTGTGCTCTCTATGTTCCTAGCATAGGCCCTAACCCATGTTGTTCCGATCTCTGCCTCCAAAATGCCTGGCAGAACAGAAGTGTGTCACTGTGCCTGGCTTTAAGAATATAGTCTTTTAATAATTTTTTACCTGGGTGAGATTTACATTCAAATATATATATGTATATATATATCTAATTTTATAAATTTTGCTTTTAAATGAGTACATTTACTACTTGTAACCTTTTAAAAACTGATTGCAATGGTTTTTTGAAGTCTCAAGTTCTGAGAATGAAAGTATTATTCCTCAATAACAATCGCTTAGAAATTGATGTTCTGGGTAGAACAGCTCTCTGTCTGTGACAAAACACCTGAAAGAATCCTCATGAAGGAAGAAGGATGCATCAGAACTCTCAGGGTGCAGTACATGCCAATGCAGAAACATCAGGGCTGAAGGATATGCAAGATGAAAGCAGCTCTCTATGTGGCAATAGAGAGATGGGCTACTCTGGAGGCTTCATGCTTCTCGCTTTTTGCTCATCCATGTCTCAAAGGCTACTGGATGATGTCAGCTATCTGCAGGGCTTATGTACCTCCACAATGTGCTGTGTGACCTGAAGATCACCTTGGAATCAACCTCACATATCCACCCACAAGTGTGCTTTGCTAATTCCATGGGAGGTTCTCAAGAAGATCAATTAATCTATAAAGATTAACCAAGACAATTTTATTATTCCACTTTAATTCTTTAGCCTTAAATCATGTGGTTTATAAAGCAAGCAGTTCTGATTATTTTCAGGAGAAGTGTACATGTTTTGTTCATTGAATAAGAATTCAATAGGCTGTGCACATCAAGATAAAAATATATTAGGAAAAGGAATAATTGAATTTGGTTCCCACACTGAATCAAATAGTTTGTAAGGGTTATACTATTTTGCATTAATGTGCTTTCTCCAAGTTACTCCCATCCAAATAAAAACTAATATTATATAAAACTCATGATTTCTTTCAAAAATCTTTATATTATCTATCATTTTTAGAGAATATTAATCATTTCTTCTTGATTATCCAAAGAAAAAATGGAGGACAATTATATCTTAATATAGTTCTATGGAAGACTCATGGAATAACCTTTTAACTTTGAAACCATAACAGAGAATATATATATATATATACACACATATGTGTGTGTGTGTGTGTGTGTGTGTGTGTGTGTGAAATTTTTACAAGCAGCTTAGTTAGTTAAAAATATTATAGACAGACAGGCAAGGCCCTTGAAGGAGCCAATGCAAAAGACCAGATACTTTGCAACCTTGAAGGAGACAAACACCTCCTGCTGTGGGCCAGATCTGAAGACAAAGGATCAAGCAAATACACCTGTGTCATAAGGACTGCTAAGGAAACTGAGGAAACCAGGGGTCATCATTCCAACCCTGTACAGGAAGAGTCACTGCTCTTTAAGCATGTCTGCTTGCTCCTCACTTCCCTATTTGTCCCTGATGCAATCAAATCTACCTGAGCAATTAATCTTATTGGTTAACCACAGTTCTGCCCCACTTTATACCCACCTAGCGAGTTCTGAAGTTTTCCCCACATTGGACTAGTCTCACTGCGTAGTTTTACTCTATAAAAGTCCTTAGAAAAGAGTGAGTCTTTGACAACCCATTCAGGACCTCTTCTGTCTCTCAGACAGAAGCTTTCTTTCTCTCAATAAATACATTTGTTATGGATTAAGAACTGGTGGTCAACTTAACGCCAGCTGGATTACATCAGCATGGCATTGAGAAAAGTTACTCCACCTGAGTAAAGTTGCCAGCATAAATAGATGGAGGAGAAGGAGGTTGTTGAGATGTTAAGTATTATTGTGTTGAGGCATTGTGGGTTCTCCTGGACTTTCTGTTTGAGTCATTGGTTCTCTTGGAGAAGTTTTGGTCCTCACATCGAGCATTGCTTCCTGGCTCTGGAGAGGAAGACGTGTGCTGCTTGGTCTCCAGGATGAACTCATCATGCTGGCATCATGGCATGTGTCTGACTGTGTTTGTCATCAGAGGAGCTTGGGCCTCCATTTTGCTGAAGATGGCTGTGGTGCCTTTCAGGACAGCCCTGGGCTTTGTTGTGAGTGTGACTTCTTGGCTCCAGTGTAGAACCCTCATCCCACCACCATAGCTCCTTCACCCTGCTGGCATGGACTTTCTGGTTTACACCGCTGACCTTTGGGCCTTCCTGTCATGGATCCATAAAAGAGACAGGTGTGAGTCCTTGTGGGCTCTGGACATCCAGTTGGACTCATGAGAGGTATTGTCCTGAGCTCTGGGTTTTCATGTGGACTCATGTGGGACATTGCTATGGGACTTAGGCCCTTGACTAAGTATTCTATGTCTTTGGTGTTGCAGATAGATTTCCTGCATTTTCTTGTGTTAACTCTGGGTGACCATTATAAAAATAATATTATAAAATTCATGTTTTGATTCTAATTGTTTGCTGCACAACCCCTGACTACAACAATATTCTACTCTTACCCTTTATTGTTTCTAAAATTTATTCTTCAATTTTAGAGAACAAGAACTCATATTGGACATACAGTAGGTAGGAATTTCACTCCCCTACATCATAGTGACATGAATATCTTTAAATGATGGCTATCTTAATTTTTAACTGGCTTTTATTAAGAAAAACATACAACTAGCCAAATATCTAAAAAGATATAAATAAAAATGAGAAGGGATTTTGAGGAATAATCTGCAAATATTTTTATTTTTATTTTTGGTACCAGAATCAAACTCATGACCTGGTATGTGTCAGGCAGGCACTGTGCCTCTGAGCTACATCCCTGCCTTCAGATATTTTTAAAATGAGAAATGAGAAATTTTTTATAATCCCAGTTAATGATTAGAAGAAAATAATGGATGATATTATGAGATTAGTCATCTAGGGAATTCATACTCTTTAAATTATTTGAATTAATCTGGAGAAACATGTTAGAGATAAGAAATTTAAGTCCACAGATTTTTTTTTTATTTTAAAGAGATTATGACAAAACAGGACATAACAAAGCAGATCAGAACAGAACAATTTAAGCAATACACTATTTCACTAGTAGACAACCCATAATTAACAGTAACTACCACAATGTCTCTTTCCTTTAAATAATTGAGTATAACTTCATATACAATAGTATCAAGCATAACAAAATAGTATAAAAACATTCAAGAGAATGAGAGTATTACAGGGCAATCAGAACCAAATAACAGAAAACAAACAATGGCTACTATATTATCTCATTTTCCATAGAAAATTTGTTTATACTTTAACATGTAATACAACATGCATTTTGATTTTTAATTTTGTCATTTTCCTGTATTTCCATTTTTCAAATGTTGTTCCAAACTTCTACTCAGTGTGTTGGAAATTGTCTCCTAATGTTCTGGGCTCTTGGCATTCCTCTGGTAGTATAGCTCCCTCCTTTGGCAGCGTGGCCCCCAGATTAAAAGAAGATTGCCAGGCGAGAATCAGGCAGGCCTAAAGCCTCTTCAAGTCATCCAGCTCCCTACTCCAGCAGCAAAGCTCCCCAGACCAAAATAAGGCCACCAAGCACAGTGCAGGCAGGCTGGGGTCCCACCAAGCCCAGTCTAGTGTGGCTGCAAGCCAGACAGGTCACCAACCACCCAGAGCAAAGATCTCAAACTCTTCCCAGGATCGGATGTTGTGCAGGCAAAGCTCCCACACTGACAGGTCACCTGCGTGGCCTAGACAGGCCCAAAACCTTCTCTGTAGCTCAGCTCCCTCCTCCCCATGGCAGCTATGGTGGCAGCACTCCCCGGATCCCCACAGATTTTTTTAGAAGGTTGAAAGCAAATATCAATAATTTGGACAGTATTCATCAATTTTCTTTTGCTTAAGGTTTTCAGAATTTTCCAATATAGCTGTGTCCTATTCCACAGTTTCTAACTTATTCAGTAAGGACAACAATTTTACTGAAAAAATAATTATGAATCCACAATACTAGCATAAAATATTTTAACTGAGATGGCATTAAAAATGGTAGAAAATAAAAATCAAATGAGTCCCTTATGCTTATAGCACTCACAAAATTATACAGCCAAGGTTAAAAAGCAAACATAAACTATAAAATTCCAAATTAATAATATCAGTTTTATTTGACCATTAGTGCTGTATTGCTGAATTTAAATTGCTTTTCATAACATCAATACTAGTTCCAGACTCTTCCTTGAGAAATGCCATAAAAATTTCAATTTCGAATTTAAGACTTTTTGTGTGGAACAGTGACTCTGGTTATTGTTGTTTTGGTGTGAGCTGCTTTAGTGTGTCTGTTTTCCCCCTTCATTAGCTGGTGATAAGCGTTGTTGCTGCCAGCCTCATCCTACAATAAACACAAATGCATCCACTTTAGTACAGTGGTGTTCGGCCTCAGTCATCTAAGGCACAGTTAAGATAACCTTTTCAGTGTTTGTTTTGAAGAAGCACCTAGGAATCTCAAAGATGTGTTGGGAAATTACAGAAAATTCCAGCATTTATGAAGAAATATGAAATCAGTGACAAACAAAACACAGGGAAACAAATTAAAACCCCATTATCAGCTATGAGATTAGACTGGTAAAGAGAAAAAAAAAAAAATCAACAAAGAACTTGTGTAACAAAAGAGACAACTTTCCAAATGCCAAAAGAGAAATTTATTAAAACTAATGTTTAAAAATGAATGTGTAAACTAAATTTATATAATGAAAACCATGAAATAACACTTTAAATGCTGATCTGTTTTATTTTCCCTTTATTGATTTCGGGAACACTGTTGCTCAAAGGTGGAGACAACTTAATAGTGGTTGAAATCAGGACAAAGTGCAAGAGAGCAGAAGCTTAGGGAAGGGTATCGACATCTAGTCATTTCAGAATCCAAAGTAATTAAAGTGGGAGGAAAAGGACAAATATCTTCCATTTTTCTTTCAGAATTTGGTTTTGAACGTAGCCAAGTCTTTGACCCTTTGATATGAGTTGACTTCTACCTAAACCTGAGAAACTTTTCATTTTCTTTCTTTTCTTTTTTTTTTTTTTTTAAAACCTGGTCATTGTTCCCTTTGTAAGGAAGTACTTACCATGATTCTTGCCAGTATGAGAGGAGCAACCTTACAGGAGAAAAGAAAAGAAAAGAAAAGAAAAGAAAAGAAAAGAAAAGAAAAGAAAAGAAAAGAAAAGAAAAGAAAAGAAAAGAAAAGACCACTAGAGAGACAGATAACGATCCTGTGGATATGGTGCTCATGGTGCCCAACAGGTAGGCTTTCCTGCGGCATTCCGTGGGCGTGTCTCTTTTTCTGTGGCCACTGAAACATTAATTTAGTTGCAGTTTGCACTAAACTTTTGCAGTAACATCAGCCTCCCTAGTTTTCAACCAGATTCTTTTCATATTATTTTCTCTCAGTATGAATTTGAGTATGAATTTGATGTTGACACTGGGTTAATAGACCCATTTAAAGCAAATTAAATATTTAAAAGCTTCACTTGACAGGTCTGGCTCCAAAGTGAATTTTAATTGAGATAAAAGAGAAGATAATAATGGCAATGAGAGAGATATGTGTTTCCCTAAGATTTGCTAAATGCGCAAACTTTTAAGAATTCTCTATCCTTGCACATCTTAAGTGTGCAAACTTTTAAGAATAAATTCTCTGCTTATCCTAAATATTAGACTGTGATAATAAACACTGCAATCATATGAAATTCCTGTCAGTCTAATATGCACACCCATGTGTTTACTTAAATAGATTTAAATAGATGAAATCCGTACACGTCTCTATTCTCCTAATTTCCTTAAATAATGTATTATAAATGTTTTGCATTTTCCTGCATAGCATTTTAGTAGCAACTGAAATTTACAACTTTAATTAAATTATAAAATACTGGATGACCAGAGAAGTCAGAGATGCTGGAGAACTCAACAGAAGTTCCAAACTGATCATCTGCATGTCATCATTCGTGTTTCCAATTACAGTCCTTATTACATGGTTCAGACTGCAGTTGGAGGTATGCCTGGATTTATGCATCTTTGCTGGCGTTCTGTGGCTGAGACACAGCTGTCTTACAGCTCACCTGGTTGGCTTTGGCTTCCTCCTGATATCCCCAAGGGGCTGTAATGAGTTCAGCCACCTAGAAACTCAGGCCATGTGACTCTGAGGTACTGAGCTGCAGGCACTGTTCCTGTTAGATGAGGATTGAAGAAAAATGAAGGCCAGTGGATTCCACATGAGCTAGATGCGAGAGGTATGATTGATGAGTACAGTGAAAGTTGAAGCAAAAGATTAAAACATTTTAAAAATGACTGTAAATTTACATTGTCATGAATCCCCTTCAAAATACTTCCTCTGCTTCTGAATGTGCTTACCTCATTTTTCTTTTCCTGTTTTTTTTTAATTGAGTTTATTGCTTCATTTTAGACATATATGATGACCACATTCATCACAAAGAATTTGTTCTTGCACAATGATAGATCTTGATTCTTCTTTTTTCTCCCCATTCTACTCCCCTTCCTTCAACCCCTTTTTCCCTCCTATTTATAAAGATTTGTTTCCGTTTTTTCCCTCTCTTCTCATTTTTTCACATTCCTTCCCTCCCCACTTTTCTTGTCATTTTCTGAAGCAATGCCTGCCTTGGTGTTCTGAACTGATCTTTCCTGAAATTTGACTTTGTGCATGACCCAGAGGGTGTGAGTTACCAGCTCCGTTAAACGGATGGAGGAGGGCCCAGTGTCACGTTTTATGCATCTGTATTCCCATTAGAAGGCACTCAGCAGCAGAGTTAAATTTTTTACCATACCTGGTAAAAACACTCACAAAAGAACTTTCAGAACTGCTTCAGAAACAGCAGGAACAAAGTGTGCTCAAAGTTAGGAGGGGAAGCCTGTGAGTGGGACTGATAGGAACGTGTCTTTTACTATCATGCTTTAGAAAATTGAAGCGTCTCTGTGTATTTTGATCAGCACCCCTTCCTATCTTTCCTGAAACTTTCCTCACCTCAGACCTGCAGCACTATTTGAAGATTCTCCTTGGAACTGCTCTTCCTCCTCTTATTTTCCACAGGTGAGACACTAATCAGTCTCTCACATATCTTATACTGCTCTGCTTGTTTTTCTAAGAAAAGATTTGGACAGTATCAAGAGCAGTAAGGAAAAGTGCAGGTAATGGGAAGGCTGGGAAAAGCCAGCAGACTGTCCCCTGGGTGAAGATGACACCATCAACATGCATTGTACCACAGAAGTCCAGTCTTCAGCTGTCACAAGGACCTGCATGGGTCTCCCTGTCTTGGGCAGAATAATTACTGGCTTCAACAGGCGGTGATGGGGCTGCTTTTGGAGAACGGGGGCAGGTAGCAATAAACACGGGAGCTGAGTGATGGCCACAGTGTAGACCACGTGGGACAAGCAGGCCCTGGGAGCCCCAGACCAACCACAGTGGTGGGTGCTGCTGTTTGTTTCCTTCATATCTTCTCAGTTTCTTTTTAAGAGGAAAAGGCCATCGGAAATTCAGAGTATTATGGAACCTGTATTTAGGGTTAAATTTTTTATAGTGCAGAGGCAGGACCATGGAAACTGATGGCCCTGCTCAGATCCTCTGTTGCAGGGATCAGCGAATCTGGACAGGGGTACCTTGGCCTTCTGGGATCCACCTCTACTGATCTGGTGAGGTGGCCGAATTCTCCAGCCTTGTTCCCAGAGGGTCTGTACAGCAGGATGGCCAAAGGCAGTCCTTCAAGGATCTGAACTTCTGGAAGGAGTGCTCCCCACTGGCTGGAGAGGATTCTAATTACACAGCTCTTTAGGACTCTGTCTACCAATCTGTCCCACCTCTTCCTTTCTCTTCACAAGTGGCAGGCTTAACATTGTACCGGAAAGGTCCCCCTGCCTCTTCCTTCCTTCCTCTTATCCTTCAGAGACTTCTCCTGTACTAAATTTATGTTTCTCAAAGAACTCAAAACTAGCACAGAGGCCAGACCTTCTCAAAGCAATCCCTGGGGGAAACTGAACCACATTACTCATCCCAATTAATATGCACATTAATATGCCTTGTGTCGAATTCTGTTTATTCTGTGTCTTATACATGTCCCAAGTCCTCCAACATCCTCTCCTGAGATTAAATTAGTGTGGTAGTTTTAAAATAAATTCACAGTTTTGTTTTGTTTTCTGATTGTTTTCAAGAGATTAAGTCTAATCTCTCTCTTCTTGAGCATGAACTACAAGCAATCCCAGAAATCTACGTCCTGGGAATGTGTCTGCTATTACTGGAACTGAGGCCTCCAGCCTCTGGGAGCTCTGTCAGTCAGTTCCTTGGGAAGCAGATCCTCTGTCCCACGTAAACCATCAGATGGTGGCGGATGTCTCACTGCATCCTCCAGGGCGATGCATGAGGGAATTATCCAATTAAGCCATTTTTGCACTCCAGCTGCCAGTAGCTATGTGAGAAGGAAAAAGAATATTTGTTGTTTCAAAGTTCTGAATCCTTAGAAAAATTGTTACAGATAAACTGTCACAGATAAAGGATGACTGCGAAATATGGGGAGTGTTCAAATAAAAACAATTATTATAGTAAAAATATTCATTGCTATTAATCTTCCTCAAAGTGTTGTACCTTTCTTTAATCACACTCATCCCACCCTTTCTGCGTCTTGCTGGAGTAGTTCTGGAAATCTTCTTGTGTGTTTTCATGCTCAGGAGCTCAGTGAAGGCTGCTGCCTGGAACCATAAGAGAGACTTTCTCTGAACATACGTGGTCAGCACTGTGTCCTCAACCACCTGATCCCCGGATCTGTGGTATTCATCTTCCAGCTCTGCCCCAAAGTAAAATCAGCCATTTAACACTGAATCCACACAGGATATCAAGGCGGCTGTGAGAGGACAATTAAAGTCACTCATGAGCCAGGGATGTAACTCAGCAGCATACGTACCTGCCTGGTAAGTGCAAGGTCCTTTGTTCTACTTCTGTTACTGAAAAATGAATAAATAAATAAATAATCAATCAATCAATAAATAAAGGTACTCATTAAAGAGGACTTCCAGGGTTGCTTCAAGAAACAAATGGCAAGGACAATGGGATGAGTGCCCTGAAACAAAGGGGTGTATTTGGAGGAGGATGAGTGTCAATATGCCTGTTACTTAGCAAATTGCTTTACATTTAAATAGACTGCATTTTCAATCACACACTGTACAGTCAAGTATTTTTCTTAGAATCAACTTCTGTAGCAGCATTACACATACTCATACACAAACATTTCATTATATATATATATAATTATTATATATATATATATATATGTAATTATTATATATATGTAATTATATATGGTATAATTACATGTATATACATTTGGTGACAAGGGTTTGAGTTATTTTTAATCAACCTGAGTAACTTTCAAATATATATATATATATATAGCTTCATTATTTACCATTCCAAAATGTTATATTATTGGAATGTTATTATAAGTTTAAATAATCTTTTGGTGAGAAATTAAAGACATTGTCCCTTTATAGACCTCTATTGCCTACTATTAAACAATGAATACATTATCTTACACAATAATCAGTGGGTAAAAATGCAAAACATTCCATCACTTGTGTCTTACTGGGTGGCATAATTCAGGATTGTACTCATCATGTTACCATGAATGCAAAAGATAGATGCAAAAGGTGGGAAAGTGTGTTTATTTAAATGATCTAAGTTGTCAAATAGTTTCTCACTATTACCTATGTGCACTCATTAGCAGCAGAGACCTTTTCTAGTAACAAAAGCAGTGCATGGGTAGGGGAGTAAGATGACTCTAAAATGAAGAAAATATGAACAAATATCACAGATCTGCTACATTTTTAAAAGTAAATAATGGTAATTCTTTTAAGTTTGCAAAGGGTAATGGAAACTGCTATTGTAAGAGAGCGCTTATCTTGAAAAGCATTCAAGGTGATTAAAAGAAGCAGCACTTAGTCAAGCAGTCTTTTGACCGTGGATCCTGTTCTAGAAGCAGCTTAATTTTAAATTCAATATCTTAAAACCAGCAGGTATTTTTTGGTATGGATCAGATTTAAAGTGTGATTTAGGGTTAAAGGAAAGAAGTGTGAATAGCATAGAAACCCACGCATGTCCTATTTGATTCCAGGCCTAGTGCTGTTGAAAGGACCACACAGGAATCGATGACTGGATAGGAAGCATCAGGAAGGTTTCCTGTGAGATGTATATCATCCTTTACATGTCCCCCTATATTTAACCCGTTTCAGTGTGATTTCACGAACAAGGTCTGCTTTGTTCTAATGCAGTTATATAATCTCCTGCTACTTTTCCATTCCATGACATCCAAAAGCATATATTTATTACATTATTTGTATAGAAAAAAGATATCACAGAGTTTCACAACAAAGTAAGAGGAGAATAACGATATTTAATACCTTGCTTATTATCATCTTCAGAGTAGTTACTCAGAGTACAAGACATGGGTAGCCCACATTACGAGTATAGTCTGGCTTAAAAAGAAGGAAAAGACTTATGATTGGCAAGGTTAGCATTTATATGTGGAACACTGAAAATTAATTTACCTTGTTTATCTATCTGTGCGTTTTGGTTTCTTTTTTCCTGATAATTTATTTAACCTGGCAGAAGTTTCAGAGCATAGAAGAAAACAAAACAAAACAAAACAAACAAACAAAAAACTAATAATCTAGACATATTAGATACAATTGTATATAAAATAAAGAGAATAAACTCAATTGTTTAAAAAAATAGGGAAATGAATTTGAAATGTGTAATGACCAGAAATCAAAGACAGAAGTCTGTTTTGCCACTATTCGATAGCATGCTTTGGAATATGATTTGTAAATGTACACCACAGAAACAGAATTCAGATCCAAATCTGTCTGACCCAAGTATATTTATTGCTTGACAATAAATGCAAGGAAAGAAAAATATTAGATGAAATTTTACAAGTCTCAAAACACATTTCTGTAGTCTCACTGAGTCCACTTTAAAATACAGAAGTTCGGAAACACATACTTTATCGTTTGGTAGTGTCCTCCATACCCTGTGGGTATTGGGCCCAAATTGACAATGCCATTTTTCAGCTATCTATTGATTATTCATCGTCTCAATGAAAAGCCTTCATATTCAAGTTCTTAATCCTCAGCTTTGTACCTTGTTAATATTTGCTCTTGCTCTGTTCATTATCTATTGCAGGATAACAATTTATATCACAATTTTGCAGCATAAACAGCACATGTTTATTACCTCTGCTGCAGTCTCATGAGACTGTGATTACTGTTCCTCCTGGGTTTGCCATCACTTCTTGGTTTTTCTGGGTCACATCCCCTTCCCAGCTCACTTGGGGTTTGCTGATATCACTTCTGTCTTTGCAGGCCAGTCCGTAAAGTCCTTTGTTTTCTACAGTCTGTGATCCAGAGGTCATGCATGAGTCCTCCTGAGCAAGATAGAGGGAGCCAGAAAAAGATTGGTGAGGATAAACTCAAAACTTTCCACAACTAAACATCAAGAATGGCACCCCTTGCTCAAGCAAGTCACTTCTCCTGGGGCCCTGTTACAGCTGTGGGATCCTCACAGAATCATGGAGCCAGGGACCAGGAACTGTCATGAGCCAACAGAAGGCCACACGAGGCCCACTGTGCTCCACAGGCCACTGTCATGAGGGGGAGGAGCTCACTCTTTTTCATATTTCATAAACTATTTCCAGAATAAAGGTTTCCAATGTATTTCAAACTGCTTACTTATCCTTCATCCTCTCTCTCTCTCTCTCTCTCTCTCTCTCTCTCTCTCTCTCTCTGTCTCTGTCTCTGTCTCTTTTTCCTGAAGATCAACTTAGTAGAATACAGATCCCCAGATCAGGATATAAAGATTAATGTACTATCAGGAACTGAAGACCCTGCTCAACTGTCACTAACTTCTTATCTTCCACCCATCTTATGTTGGAGTATTCTATCAAGGGTCCTGCATTGTATTTAATGGCTATTACTCCTTTTACATAACATGGGTCTGTGTTATCTTCTAGAAAATGTCTCCATTTGGGATTACCTGACTTGTTTTGATGGGAATGAGATCTTCCAATAATGGAAATTACACAATAATGATAGTGGGTCTTCTAAGTGGGTCATATCAAATTGTTTATGAAAAGACAATTATGTCCTTTTCCAGTATTTCTCACTTTAAAACAATAGTGGAATGAATATTTTTGTGAATGTATGTTTTTGAATTTTTGTGCGATGGATTTCTAGAAAAGGAATTTCTGTATAGATGGGTGAGTCCCATGTAATTTTGTCAGATATTGTTAAATTTCTCCCCAGAAGGATTATGCCAGTTTTCATTCTTGCCAGCATTAAATATGTGTATTTCATTGAAATTTTAATTTGGCAGTGAGGATGATATTTCAGTATCATCTTAATTTGCATTTAAGTAATTATAAATGAAACTAAATTTTTAATATGTCTGAGGGCAATTTCATGTCATTTCTGTGTGAATGTGCTCCCCATGAATTTTTGCCATTTTTTTCACACTGAATATTTGTTACACGGCCTTAAGGTTTTATGAGCTCTTTACAAATTATGGGTGTTAGTATTGTATCATGTGTGTGGCAAACCTTTCCATCCCTGTTTGTCAACATGTTTGCTTTTGGTCATAATGTTTTCTGAAATGCAATTTTTAAAGATATTCTATATGGTCCAATAGCATCTCTGTGGAATATGCAACACTGAAACAAATACGCTTCATTTGGTAGTTGATTTTTACATCATTTGGAAGAACATTTTAGAAAGTTGATTATCACGTAACTACTTTTGTATTAACTTTAGATTTTCTTGGAATAACTTAAAACTAGAAATCTCAAAACAGAGTGGAAATATATAACATTTTGGAAGAACCTAAAACAAAGTGGAATAACACTGTACTGATAGTCTTATCAAAAGAGAAATATGACATTTTTAAAAGAAGGGCTTAAATTCAGTTGCAGCAAATATTAATTAGATGTTAAGTATGATATAGTTATTTAACAAATATATTTATTAAATTTATAACCAATATATGGTTATTTAACCAATATTTTAAACCAATATATTTGAGTAAATGCAATGCTAATTTCATTTTTATATTTTATTTATATGTAAACTTATCTTTTACTACTTAATTTTTGCAATTATGCCACAATGCTTTTAAATATATTGATTAATTTATAAATAAAAAGGGTGAAATTACATTGAAATATTAGGAATAGAAAAAGAGGAAATATTCAATATGAGCAATTTATTTATTGGATTACATAGAATTTGTTTTGGCTGAGGTTTTTGCTTGGTTTCTGAGCTTTTCAAACTTTCATTATCAAAGTGTTTTTGGGGTTTTAATTTTTCCTAGATTAATGCATCTTATAGATCTTGCTTTAGTATTTTTACAAAATTTCTTTTAAATTTTATCAAATTGATTTCCAAACCTCCTATCATTGCATATTTAAAATCGAAATTTTTAATTTTTAATTATTGCAATTATTTTTCTTTAGTTTTTTTTTTTTTTTTCCTAACTAGGTTTAGGACTATCTTTTTGCTTCTGCTGACATCCCATTTGTACAGCATTTAAAACATAAAACACTATACTTGTCAACAAGGAGCTGAGTAGTGAGAAAAGTCCCCATTATGCAAACCCCTGTATTTGAAATAACCAAGGCTCATGACTGTCAAAGTATTTACTCTTCAGGGTCTGTCTTTGGGATCCATATTCTGCACCATATTAGTGGGTAGAGGTGTAGGGCAAAGGCTCTCCCAGGGACAATTTCAGTGTATTCTCTCCATCCTCCTCATATACTCCTACCAGAGAAGTTCTTTTGTTACTAATTTACATCTGGAACTTCTAAATGTAATATCATTTTTTAAAATAAAGACTGTTCTTTTGACATAAGCAAACACTTTTTAAAAGGTGATTTTGGAAAGATGGTGGTGGCAGCAACATAATTAAATCCACCCAGTGTTCCTATAAAAACAGGCAAAACCACTTAGGAAGGCTAAATTAATAACATGTGAATGATCTCTATAAGAAAACCAAGCAAGAAGGCATCCCCATAGACCTATGTATCTGCAGGTGAGCACAAAAATGCTAAGCCTCGCAGGACTCACATTATCAGCCTGTCAATGGGAAGAAGTTTAAGAATCATATTCTGAAGGCCTTGGGAACTTCCCTGTAGACCTTCCCTGAGTAGATTTGAGGATGAACCTGAGAAGAACAGCCGATTTCACTGGCACCAACATACAGGGGAATGCAGAGTGCAGTGCAGTGATGTAGTAAGGAAGGATGGGGAGAGCGACCTGGGTCCTATGAAATATTGAAATTCACAAGACAAAGCCCCAGGCCATGGAGAAAAATCAGTGAAAGTGGAAATTAAAGTAAATCAGAAAGGAAAAAGGAGATTCAGCTAAAAGTATGAAAACAGAGCAGAAAATGCATTTAAGAAGTTCTATAGATAGATTTGATCACTTTGTCAAAACAATAGAAGAGGGATCTGTAGAGATGTAAAGCACAGAAGAACAATAAGAAAAGCAATCAAGGCGTCCCCTGCCAAAGGACGCTTCCTTCAACTATGCAATGGCCCTGTCACAGGAAAATTAATATAATGAACAGTAAAATAGTTTCAGTCGTTTTATCCCAGATCTACAATTGGATAGCGAGTAAGAATGGAATATCATTGCACTGGGCAGTAAAAATTCACCAGAATGATTTGCTCATGGAACTGATGGGGACTGAGACTTAAATTTCAAAACAATCACAAACTGATTTTAAAATGTGTGCAATGGAAAAAACAATATGAATCAATTCAAGATGACAATGATTTCAGGAAAAACAGATTTGATGAGATAAGACAGTCTCACATAACAAGTCATTTCAAAAACAAACTGATTTAGAAAGAATGAATGTAAAAATGGGTGATAACTCATGAAAAATTTTCAAATTAGAAAAATTTGCAAATAAAAATAGACACTCTTATGGTTTGTATCTAGCTGATCTCCCAAAGTCTTATGCAGTCATGGGCAGCAGGCTTCTTGGAAGACACTGTAACTAGAGTTTGAGACTGATTTCATGGCCTGATGCTGGGATTAAGAAGGTCAGTGCTACACCCGCCGGAGGGCAGGTAGCCTGCATGAAGGGGCAGAAGAGGTTTGCCCCTCCCTCTTTCTTTTTGCTTTTATTATTTTCTGCTTGTCATGAACTGTTGCCCCTCTGCCAGTGCCACCCTGTCTTGGAGCCTGTTCATTATAGACTGAAATCTCTATAAACTGGGCTAAATAAACCTTTCCACTTTCAGCACTGGGTGTCTGGAAGTCACTCAGTTTGTTTTGACAAAGAGAAAAGAACTAAGACACAGACATTATAAATTATTTGTAGATCATAAAAAGTTCTATATGTACCTAAGTATCTATCTATTATCTATCAATCTGCTTATGTATAGGTCTACATTTGGAGAGAGACCCTAAAGAATAAGAAACTATCACAAAACTGAAACAAAACAATATCTAAATATAGATGAGGAAAATTTCCTGAGTTGGACTACATTTGAGGGAACAAACTTCAAGATATTGCCCAAATCAATGAAGAGTGACAAAATATGTCCATATCAAACTTGCCAAGGTATGAAATTTTAAAGCAAAAAGAAAAAATTCCTTTAAGGCATGTTGCCTTTAAGGCAACAAACAAAGAAACAAGCAAAAAAAACCCCTTGGTTTGCTTTTGTATTTTTCAACAGAAGCACTTATGCTAAAGAATATTGAAATAACCTATTTGGAATACTTAATGTATTCTAACGAAAATGTAAGAAAAAGATATAAGCCATGAAATTCTATTCCTGGGTAAAAGCATCTTTCATTTCAGTCAAGTCACAATGATAATCTCATCATTTTTTTATTGAAAAGTCTACAAATGTTTGGAAATTTTTAAAAATTGTAAATTTAAAAAGAATGATAAACATAACAATTTTATTCAAATACCAAATCCAGTTGTTTAAACTAGATTGTTTAATATGTTGATGCATTAAATGTAATTTAATATAATATACCCAATATTATAACTAACTTATTATGTTTAATATTAACAATATCAATATCTAACATAGCTTAGATTGTTACTTATGTTATGCAACATATAATCTTATATTCTATTCCAACAGATAAGACAAACACAGAGGAGGGACCATAGATATGAATCATGAGGAACTGCCTCAACTCTGAGAAAACAGTGATGTAGTGATGTGGAAACCAAGGTTATGAGGGACCTCAGTAGTGATACTAGTAGAGGGAATCATACAATGTAAATAAAAGGCAAGATAAAAATACTGCATTGAATTATTAGCCTAAAATTAAAATTCAAGCAATAATCCTACTTCCTAAAAGATGAAATATAGACTTACACATTCCTCTCAAAAGGAGAGTCAAACAATATGAAACATCATCTAAGTATGCTGTTAATTGGTTTAACTCACTTAATAAAATCCTAAATATCTTGAGAGTCACGATTAACAATGCCAAGCCAATATTCTGCTATTTATGTAACATGAGCTGCAGATATACTTAAATATATACCAATTGCTAATCCTTTTAAAAGAACAAAATTATGTAGGAGGCAAACTCAAATAGGGGAAGGGAAGCCAGAGCATTAATAACTAATAAGAGACACATCAGACAAAAATATTAAAAGAGAGAGAAAAAGGATGTTATTAATCCCAAAGGCTACACTCAAAATGAAAACTTGTTTATTTATGCTCAACCCCAGGAATCAACCAATAACTTCCTTATACACAGAGCGTATAAGCTATGTGAAC